AACAGAAGCCCTACTTAAAGAGACCACCAACCAGTATAATTTCAGGGTTTTAGGGTGTCGAAGTCTCCTGACGTGCATCCATACCCCGAAACATCCCTGAACTCCAAGCCGAGACCCAAGACCCCGCATCCACAGGCGCCCCCACGATGCAAAGAGCCCTAAAGCCCTAAAACCCTAAACCCTAAAACCCTAAACCCTAAACCCCAAACCCCTAAATCCCAAACCCCAAACCCTAAGCGCGAAACTCTAAACACCTCTAAACCCCAAACCCTAAACCCCACAATTGAGGAGTATACCTCAAACTTCAGTGGGATCCTCCATCTGATTCTCGGTACATGTCTCCATTCGGGGGTATGGGGCTCAACCTTGGACGACCCCCAGTGCTCCTTACCTTCGGGTTCTTCCGGCTCTAGGGGTTGGGGTTTGGGGTTTCGGGTTTCGGGTTTAGGGTTTAGGGTTAGGGGTTTAGGTTTGGGTTTAGGGTTAAGGGTTTTTGGGGTTTCGGGGTTTTGCGCTTTTGGGGGTGTGAGCTTTTTGGGCTCTAGGATTTTGGGTTGTGGGTCGCAGCGAGCCCCATACCCTCTCCAACGAGCAGAACAAATAGGACCACTGTGAAGTTTAAGGTATGCCCCTGAGTTAAGGCCCTATACTCGAACTTATATAGCTCAACAGATAGAATATTCTCAGTTCAGGGGTGGATTTTGTGGTGCCCATTAGCCCTAACACCCTAAAACCCTAAAACCCCAAACCCCTAAACCCCAAAACGCTAAATCCCTAAAACCCTAAGCCCTAAAACCCTAAACCCCTAAAACCCCTAAACCCCTAAACCCCTAAAACCCTAAACCCTAAACCCCTGAAACCCTAAACCCCTAAACCCCTAAACCCCTAAAACCCTAAACCCTAAAACCTTAAAGCCCAAAACCCCAAAACCCTAAACCCTAAAACCCCAAAACCCTAAAATCCACAAGCTCCACTTGGAGGTGGGTACTTCTAACCACAGTTATAAGTTTACTTATAACCTACTTAGGGGACTGAGGGGGCTTATAAGTAGAGCTATAATTATAGGGGTACCCTAAACCCTAAAACCTAAACCCTAAACCCGAAACCCGAAAACCCTAAACCCTAAACCCCTAAACCCTAAACCCTAAACCCTAAACCCTAAACCCCTAAACCCTAAACCCGAAACCCGAAACCCGAAAACCCTAAACCATAAACCCTAAACCCTAAACCCCAATTAGGGTTCTAAAAGTACACATGAACCTCCAAGCAGGCCAGCCGAAAGATGAGCCCCACCGGCCTGGATGAACTGAAGTCCCTCTTCACTCGCCCCGGGGATCCAGAAGTAGGGTTTAGGTTTAGGGTTTAGGGTTTCGGGTTTAGGGTTTAGGGTTTAGGGTCTAGGGTTTCGGGCTTTGGGGTCAAGAGTTTTGTTGTTTTTATTTTGTGTTTATGTTTGTTGCTTTGTTCGGTAGGGGGGGTGGGGGGGGGGGGGTGGGGCGTGGCGTTAGGACCCGTTAGGGATTAAGGGAGGCGCTGGCCCCAGACTCCAACTTTGTGAACCTTGAGCACCAGATGTGTACGCATGACCTTAACAAGTCTTCCCATGAGAACGGGAACTGTGGGGCTCAGTTTATGCTTGTATAAGAATGGTAAGGAATATGCTGGTGAATATGTTAGGTTTTGCGTATGAAGCCCTGACCTCCAAAGCTGTCAACGCACTCCGAACTCATGCTCTCAAACCCTGGGCCCGCCGCCCCTCCCCCTCTTGGTTTAGGGTTTAGGGTTTAGGGTTTAGGGTTTAGGGTTTAGGGTTTAGGGCTCCCCACCCCCGCCCCCCGGCCAACTTTAGAAGAACCACCCGGCAAGAAGGATCAGCATTGTTGAGCCAGCAGAAGCTCCGTGCTTACCCTACACCCGAAGCCCTAAGCCCTAAACCCTAAACCGTAAACCCTAACCCTGAACCCTAAAGCAGACGGGCAAAAGTCTCTTCCCCCTCCCAAACACTAACCCTCCCCATATTTCAATATTTACATGCCCGGGCTTGTGTATTACTATCATTGGTAAGAGTATGCGGGGTTGCTCGTGAAGATTGGTGAGTGTATCTCTCTCTCTCTCTATATATATATATGGTAGCATAAATAAATAAATACATATATATATATATATGTATATTGGGTGTCCTTTTTGGGATAGTAGCAACAAAAAAAGCTTACTTCACACCATAGAATATGATAGTACAGCATAGTGTATAGTTTTTTCTGACGTAGTTGATATTGTATAGTGAGTCTATAGTATGTCATAAAGTATAATCTATGGTATGTTAAATATCACAACTCTTTGCAGATTTGTCACACTTAATTGTGCACGACCGTATGTTCTTGCATGTCCTGACATGTTTGATCATGGAAGCGTGGTCGCAGCTTGTGGGCTCGTATGGACAGGACCGTTGTGACTGCAGGGGCCACAGGGTCTTTGAGTAGCCTCTTGCTTAACGCTCTTGCTCAGAGCATTCAAGCCCCGCCCAATTTCGATCCGTGCCCAGTGTGCCTCGATTTCGACGTAGATCTTCATCCTCGATCTTTGGCGCTGGGCGTGCTAATAGGCATCTTCTTGGGCCCTCTGATCGACTTGGTCTACGGGCTACGGATCCTGTGGCGGCGCTCCTGCCAGCGCTGGCTGGCTGGGCTAGGCAAGACCTCCTTGGCGCTCTACCGCGTGCATGAGTGAGATCGCCTACTTGATGCTGCTGGGCTGGGTTGGCCCAGTCAGGTGGAGGCATGAGCAGTGACAGTGAAGACGAGGAGGCTGCTAGAGACGTCCGGGGCAACCTCCTGTTCAGCGGAAACCGGGCGCGACTAGAGTACAAGCTGGGGTCCATCTCTTGTTCCGAAACAGGAGAAACTTCAGCCATTATCGGCATTGCGGAGCTTGGGGGAAGGCTGATTGTGGGAGTTCCTTGGGCGGCCTGGCATAAGAAAGTTGCAAAGCGCAAGCTCGAGAAAGGTGCCCTGGGCAAAGCCATCCTAGTCGACGTGGTTGGGGCCTATCCTGCTGATCTTGGTGAGCCCGCAGAAGAGCTGGTTGTTCGGCTATGGGTAGGAGTTCTTGCCATGCAGGCGGAGGCGAGCGTGAGCTACCAGCAGGGTGTGGAGCACACCTACAGCTTCGGGGCAGACGCCCTGCCGTACGGGGAGGCTCTTGTGAAGGTCGCCGACGAGCACTTCGCCTTCACCACGGCAGAGTCTGGTGGAGGGGGCGAGGGCATGTTCCGTCGTATGTCCCAGGTCGAGGCGGGCCTGGCCGAGATGAAGAACCTCTTGCAGGACCTGGTTGCTCAAAAGTCGAGCGAGGCTTCAAAACCGCCGCTGCTGAAGCCGAGGACCAAAAGCAAAGCTGGAAAGAGCAGGGGAGAAGAGCTTGGTTTGCAAGGACTAGATCCCAGCACAGTTGGCGCTGCCCGTGCGGCTGGCATAAGCGACGAAGCCCTGAAGGAGATGGGGAAGTTGGTCAGGGCCAAGAAGACTCGCGCCGCCGAGGCCGCAGTCAGCTTAGTCGACCCGCTCGCCGAGTTGGAGGCCGGCTCGGACGGCGACGACGGTGCTGGGTTGGGCTTGGACGAGTTGGATGGCGTCCTGGATGGAGCGGAGACGGAGGAGCCCAACAGGATGGAGAAGGCCATCTTGCAGCTCACCCGCATCGTGGGCACATTGGTGACAAAGAAGAATCCGGACCTGGACACCGTGCTAGACCATGGCAGCTTGGGCAGCAGTTCAGAGTCTGGAGGTCTGGGCGCAGGAAAGAGAAGTACTGCGGCCCTCCGCTTTCTGAGCCGAGCTCTGGAGGAGCAGCCGAAGGTCATCTACGATGCAGTGGAGGCCCAGCTTCAGAAAGACTTGGGAGGCCTCGCTACTGGAGACTCGATGGTGAAGACGTGGCTATGTTCTCGCTCTCGGATCCAGAACTTTCACACTCAGGTGAGATGGTCGTGGCAAGTCGGGGCCATTTGGCAGGATCTCATCAACGGCGACGCAGACCGCGCGCGCGCGGGCGGCGCTCCTCATTGCCGCCTCGGATCAATCCTCCATAGATGGGGGCAGTTGGGTAATGAGCTCCGTGTCATTGTTGGAGGCGATGCCACCTTTCCAGGAATTTGCAAAACATTCCTTGCCAGGGCCTGCGGAAAACCAGACAAGCTCCCTTTACGACCCGCGATGGAGCGAGGTCTTCCTGAGCGCCCTTCGCGAGCGGGACGCTTGCAACGATGCCAGACGGAAACTTGCTCAGTTGGAGAAAGGAGGCCGACCAACGAAGCCAGACGACAAGGACCTGCCCTGGAGACCTCCGAAAGGAGGGAAGGAGGGAAAAGGCGGCAAGGGCGGAAACGCCAATGCCGAAAAGCCCGAAAAGTAAAAAGCAAGCCAAAGGGGGAGGTCTGCGAGAGCCCGTTTGAACCAGACCGTCCTCCTGAACTACTTGGCTCTTCTTCTTTTGACCCTCGTCTTTGCAGCGATCCAGGCTGTCGCGGAGGTGGGCGCGGATCTCCAGGCCGACCTGAAGACGGCGCCAGTCCTCACCGGCATGTGCCTGGAACGTGTGCGAGACCAGTTGACCCGCTGGGTGTCTTTCGTGACTTGGTGGGTAGAGTTTTCCAGTGCCCTACTTCTTTGGGTTGTTTTGCTAAAAGTTTCCTGCGTAAAGCCCAGTCCGGCATTGCAGCCGGCAAAACCCCGGGGTCGCATCCAGCAACGTGGCCGATGCCCCTGCCTTTTCCAGAAGTTCTTCGAGGCAATCCTTGGACGATTGCTCCAGCAGAACTTAAGCAGCTGATCGTAAATGTGCAAGTCATCCTGCTGAACTACCTAGACCTGGGTCGTCCCCGTGTAGCCCCCGCGTCGTGTCTTGGTCCTAGGCCTTTGAGCGCAGCTCAGTCCGAGATTGTGGCCCGACTGGAATCCTTCCTAGATGCTTGGTTCACGCTCGGCACGCTGGGGCCAGAAGACATGGGGCGAACAGCAGGAAAGATCGAGGACCTTGAAGCCGTCCTCAGCAAGCTTGCGAGTTTGGTTGACGGCGCAAGCCCTGACTGCGCCAAGACCGGGACCCTTGGGCATCTGAAAGGAGCAAAAGTGTCGAGCTTCAAGCCGGTGGAAGCAGGGAGGTTGAAGTTCCGAGGCCTCCCAAACTTTGACCCCAGGCCATATCTCGACCCATTGTCCCTCTACATCTATGAGCATCCTATGGCATCTTCCATGGACCCAGGGGAGTTTGAAGGAGTTGTCCCGAAAGTTCGAGTACATTGCAGCAGGACCGAGAAGATTAAGCTGTTCGACCTCTTGGACCAGAGCAAGCGGATCAGGCTGTTTGAGCCAAGCCAAGTGCGCGAAGGATTTGGTTCTGGAGTTTTCGCCGTGCTGAAGTCCTTGGAGTTGGATAGACTCATTTTGGACTCACGTCCTCACAATGTACTAGAGACGACACCGAACAGGTACATCTACACCTTGGGTTCTAGCGAAGTACTTGCGCAACTCCACCTGAGTGAGGGCGAAAACTTGTATCTGTCATCAAATGACATACGCGATTTTTACCACTTGTTCAAGGTCAGCCAGGAGAGGGCTCGACGCAACATTCTTGTTGGCACAGTGGCCCCGAGCGAGGTGTCACATTTGTCGTGTTTCGAGAACCATCTCTTCCGGCACCCCAGACTCTGCGTCGGCCTTGCCTGTCTTGCTATGGGAGACACGCAGGCCGTGGAACTGGCGCAGACCTGCCACTTAGGTCTGTGTCTCCAAAACTCGATCATCTCGGCCGAGACCCTGCTGGCAATGAGTTTGCCGCCTCCTAGGAGCAAAGTGGGATGCGGACTTGTGATTGACGATTTCGTTTCTTATGCAATTGAGAGTAGATGTCCGGAAGAAGTGTTGGCATCACCTACCAGGGCAGCGGTGTTGGCCGATGAAGCTCATGCTGCCTACACACGTGTCCAGCTCATTCCCCATGAAGACAAAGCTGTGAGAGATTCTCTGAGGTGCGAGATGTGGGGTGTTCTCATCGAGGGCGACGTGGGCTTTGTCAGAGGCTCACTTAGACGCGCTGCTCCTCTGTGCACCATCATTCTCACCATCTTAAAAATCGGTGCCGCTACGACAGGTCTTCTGGAAATCGTGGCTGGAGGCCTTATCGCTCTTTTCATATTGAGACGACGCCTTATGTCGCTTTTGCATGAGATCTTCGCTGCTACGCGGGGCCGTGAGCAGGATGAAGCCTTTTGGCTGAGCAATAAGCTAAAGGAGGAACTCACCATGCTGGTCGGTCTTGTGCCCACTGCAGTGGTTGAGCTCAGGACGGCGTATTCCGAAAAGGCGTACATGGTTGATGCTTCGAATTGGGGTGAGGCTGTGACATCGTGCCAGATTGGGTGCTTGTTTTCCAAAGAACTTTGCAGGCATTCGCTCCGGAAAGGAATCTGGACGCATCTTCTCAGCCCAGCTCGCGCTCGTGAACGTGGGCACGGGACTTTAGACCCTGCTTTTGAAGTGCCTGGAGGTGAGGCGGACTGCTTCAGAGCTCATCCAATTTGGACCACTCTAGCCAAGGCTGGGCGCTTCAAACTAGAGTACTCCAAGGCTGCCCGTTCCCGGCGCCACATCAACATCGGAGAGCTCCGCTCATACTTAAAGGCTGAACGGCTCGCTAAAGTACCTGGTAAAGCGACAAGAGCATGTGTGGGAGGCGACTCCCAAGTCACCTTGGGGGCAGTCCTCAAGGGCAGGTCAGCCAGTGCTGCCCTCAACCAAGAGATGCAGAAGTCGCTACCGCACGTTATAGGCTCCGGGCTCTATTCTTTCAGTATGTACTGCCCGACATCCATCAATCCTGCTGACGGGCCAACGCGAGGTCGTGATGTTCCTTCTCCACTTGAAGAACTTCCGGACTGGTGGGAGTCGGCGCTGACTGGGAAATTCGAGGGCATGGACGCTTGGTTGAAAGGCCTTGGGTGTGACCCCTTCACACTTTCTGGCTTGCCCCCGCTTGAAAACTTGTCCAAGGCTGCTGAACGTGAAGTCCAAATGCAACTCGGAAAGAAGTACCTGACGAAGCTCAAACAGATCAGGACTGGCAGGCAAGAGTGCCAGGCGCCGGAACTAGAGCCACCGTCTCAAAACACGGATTTCATGTGCAAGTTGCTGAATGCTAAAGGGCAGCTTGTGCTACCTGCCGGTCGCGTAAAGGGAGATTGCGTCGGACGGCCAGGATACTTAGATCTGTTCTCAGGCACCGGTGGAGTCGCTCGAGAACTGGCCAGACTCTCTGGCCGGTGGGTTTTGAGCTACGAGATCAAGAATGGCTTAGACCAGGACCTGCTAGATAAACTCGTGCAAAAGGAAATCTTTGGCCTTTTGGATGCAGGAGCCTTCGTTGGGATTGGGGCAGCGCCTTCTTGCGCTTCTATGTCCCGGGCTGTCGCTCCTGCTGTCAGGACTCATGCGTTCCCGGAAGGTCTCCCTCACTTAACCCCGGCCCAAGACAAGAAGGTTAAGGAGGGAAACGAGTTCGCAAGGTTCGTGGGCAAGTTGGGGATTCATGCTCAGCGTCTAGCAATTCCCTTCTGGATTGAAAATCCGAGCTGCTCCTTCCTGTGGATGCAACCAGAGATGATCACTGTGCAGGGCTTGCCGTTTGTGGGCTTTTGGGTTTTTGATTGTTGTGTCTTCGGCACAGCTTGGCGCAAACGTACGCGGGTCCTTACCAACACTGGGCTAGCCTGCCAGAAGACATTTTGTCGCGGCTGCAAAAGACACCAAGTGCTCAGAGGACGCTCCAAATACCAGAGATGCAGTTGGACTAAAGTTGCTGAGCCTTACCCAAAAACCTTAAGTCTGGTGATTGCCATGGCGTTGACTGGGGCAGCGGGAGACAGGAAGGAGTTTGAAAACTTAGACGCTGCGTCCTGCGCTCGAGCGCTTCAGAAGGATGCCAAGGCGCCTCACTGCTGCTGAACGCGCTTCTCAGAGGAGCGGCATCTCCTTGGCAGGCGTGCCACTGGTAGGTGCCAAGACTGAGAAGCTGGAGAAAAGATTGTGGGAAGGTTTTCTCGAGTGGATCGCCGAGGACTGTAAGCCAGATATGGTCAAGTTGCTCACCTCCGCCGCTTCTACAACCTCCACGTTGCTCCAATTGTACGGTGAGTACCTTTTCGAGGTCGGTGCGCCGCTCAGCTCCTTTAGACACTTAGTCACTTTTGCTCAAAGGCTGTATCCCGATTTCAAACTGCACTCCAAGCCCTGTTGGGATCACGTAACAAAATGGGAGATAGTGGAACCTTTGGTGCACAGAGTTCCTCTACCTGAGCGGCTCTGTGAAGCTATGGCTGCAGTGGCGTTTGCGTGGAAGTGGCCTCGTTTTGGGCTTGTCCTCCTCATCGCGTTTTATGGGATCCTTCGAATAGGCGAAGTTGTCTCTGCTTTCCGAAGTTCTTTGGTGCTTCCTTCAGATCTTTTGTCAGACAAGCTGGATAAGTTGTTTCTGCGTATTCTTCAACCAAAAACTGCGCGAAGAGGAGGAGGCAGACAGCAACACGTGACCATTGTTCATGGACCATTGGTTCGAGCATGTGAAGCAATTTTCAAAGGTGCAAAAAGTTCAGAGCCCTTGTTTCCTTTGTCAGCCCAGACATTCAGAAGACGGTGGGACCAGGTCCTGGAAGCACTACACGTTCCTCGTTCAGCTGCTTTGACTCCAGCTAGTGTTCGAGGAGGCGGGGCCGTGGCTTCGTATCAATCTGGCACTCCAGTTCATAACTTGGTCTGGCAAATGCGTGTCAAGCACGTTCACACGTTACAACATTACCTCCAAGAAATGGCAGCTGAGAACGTTCTTGGGCATCTTCCTTCTGATTCGAAATCAGCTGTTCGGTCGGCCTCTTCTTGCCTGACCTTGTTTCTCGACTCTTTGTAATTCACTGCCGAGGTCCTGTCCATGGCCATGGGCGCATGCTAGCACGCTGGCAGGCACCTTCTCTTACCTCGAAGCGGCCTGCTGAGAAGTGGTGGAGGCAGTCACCGACTACGCGGTCCTGGAGTTTGCGGCTTCCGACGTGCTCTTCGGTTACCCGTTTTTCTGCTTCGTCGGCTACACGAATCCGCTTTTCGCCTCCGAGACCTTCGAGCTTCCCAGTGCCGCAGCCGAATACCGGCCGTGCAAAACTTTTCAGTGGGCACCGCTTGCGCAGTGAAAAGTGGGACAGCGATCAATTGCTGAAGTGAGCCAACATGTCCTGACATGTTTGATCATGGAAGCGTGGTCGCAGCTTGTGGGCCCACCCGCCCGCCCTTGCTGCTGTCCTGCTTGCGGTGCTGGGGGAGGCAGTCACCGACTACGCGGTCCTGGAGTTTGCGGCTTCCGACGTGCTCTTCGGTTACCCGTTTTTCTGCTTCGTCGGCTACACGAATCCGCTTTTCGCCTCCGAGACCTTCGAGCTTCCCAGTGCCGCAGCCGAATACCGGCCGTGCAAAACTTTTCAGTGGGCACCGCTTGCGCAGTGAAAAGTGGGACAGCGATCAATTACTGAAGTGAGCCAACATGTTATGCTATAGTGGACTGGGGACGTTTTCATATCAGGGGTTGCGTGGGGTTTGCAGGGGCATGTTGTTGCGTTTTGTTTGCTGCTTTTTGCTCGTTCCTTGTTCCTTGCCTCCTCCTGCGGCTCCTTGCTTAAACCCTAAACCCCAAACCCTCAAACCCCAAACCTCAAGCCCCAAACCCCAAACCCTAAACCCTTAACCCTAAACCCTAAACCCTAAACCCCAAACCCCAAACCCCAAACTCTAAGAGGTGGTCGTGGGACCCTGAGCCCTCGGCCCTAAAGCTCCGATGCCCGCCACGTTTCAGGGTTTAGGGTTTAGGGTTTAGGGTTTAGGGTGCTCTCAGAGCAGCGCCCTGAAGCAAAAACGGTCTCAGGTTTTTTTGGATGCTCTTGGTTCTGGAGTAGGTCAGGTTCAGCTGCCTCAGCGCCAACCCTAAACCCTAAACCCTAAACCCTAAACCCTAAACCCTAAACCCTAAACCCTAAACCCTAAACCCTAAACCCTAAACCTTGAACCCCAAACCCTAAACCCTAAACCCTAAGAACCTGTCACTTCAGCCTTGACCTGAGTCTACGCTGGTACCCTTCAGCATGCCGTGGAGGCGGAGGGCAGGCCGTACCAAGCGTCTTGTGTATCAGTTGGGTTTAGGGGTTTAGGGTTTGAGGGATGTACGGTTTAGGGTGCCACAACTTCACAAAGTTCGCTCTGATTAGATCAAGGGCCTCATCGCATTTTGTGAGCTTCCTCTACAATGGAGACAGAGAGAGCGAGAAAGAGAGAGAGAGAGAGAGAGAGATTCTCGACGGATTGTAAGACTGCTGAACCCAAAGCCCTAAACCTCTCAGTGAGCCCATATGGCTCCCTCTTTAGACCGCCCCGCTTACAACTCTCAATGCGTCATTTTGACGAAACCTGCTTTGAAAGGCTTCACTTAGGCCACCTATACAGGAGTTGTGTCACACGGGTCGCTTGGAGCACTTGGGACACTTGGGTCAGACTCGGGACACGTGGAACCTTGGGGTGGATTGGGAACAGCTGGGTTAGTATAGGATCGGAAGGAATAAATACGACTGTCATTCCTTTATGGTCCCTTTATTGACGCAGGCCACTTGAGTCCAAGACACGTGGGTCGCTTGGGTCGTTTGGGACACATGGAGCACACTTGGGTCGCTCGAGGTCCCCCAGCCCATCCAACACCCCGCTCGGTGGACAACCAACGAACTGCCGCCCTACTGCTTGCAGCCTTTCCCCAAAATTGCGTATTGGCGATCATGGGCCAGAAGACTGTTACTGTCAGCTCTCAGCGAAGTTGCATGCATGTGATGCAGATGTTTTTTTGCCCAAGTATGTCTTGAAGTACTTTGAGTCCCCATAAATTCAGTGGCTGGCAGGGTGCGTGTCAACTTCTTCGCCCACGTGATCGGCTTTGGAACCTGCGTGTCCACGGACTGAGGATCACTGGGGGAGGGTCGGGTGGGGTAAGTGCGTAATGTTGATCTTCGTTCTGAGAGCTTGAATTGTCATTAAGCCTTCAAGGTTGAACCTGAATGTGAGCTTCGGTTTCGGACAGCGAGTTTGCGCCACAAGCCTGAACCTGCTGAACTGGGATTAGGCCAAGTGTGTTCAAAATATTTGAGCAGATCTGCTGAGGTTTGTTGCGGCTCTGTTGAGGTTTATTGAGCTTGTCGGTCACTTGCCTTTTGCTCTTGCTCCTGAATCCGGTCATGGACGGTGAAGACAATTCTGCTTCGGGTTAGGGTATATTATATATTGAAGGCAGATGAATGCGTGCCCAAAGCTTGAAATCCCGGCCTAGGTGGCTGCTGACCACCTTCTACAACACTTATCTTTACTTCGCCTACATGTTCGTGCCTTGCAAGAAGATCTTGGGGCCGTTTAGGCTTGTGGTGTAGGGTCCAGGCGTGGGGTTGGTTCTTGGTTGTAGGCCATAGACTTAGGCTTATTGTCTTGGCGGTGCCAACCAGCTCCGAAATTTGACATCGTGAAATTCAATCCTCGACTGTGCTTTCTCAGCCACGCCCAGCGCCAAGACCTTGAACCTGGATGTTGTCACGCAAGAGTTTTGAAGCACCGGTCCTTGATTTCTAGAGGGTGCAGAAGGGATATACCAGGGCTCCCAAGTAGTTGCCCCCCTCCCCCCCCTCCCCCAAGCCCAAGCAATTGCCCTAAGAGAAGTGTTGGAGTTCAAGATAGGGTTGTAGCTAGCACATGAGGTTTGTTAAAGGCGGATTCCGCCTAGGTTGCCCTTTTAGTGCCGAGGGTCCCTGGAAGGAGTTTGGGAGACTGGGGAAAATAGAAAAAACCCCCCCAGGCCCCCCATATTATCTAAGGGCAGTTTCATGGGCCCTGAATATGGTCCCTTACCTCCTTTAGAGGATTCTGAAGTATGGGGCCCCCATATTAGGTTTCTTTTTGTTCTGCTGCTTTGATACCAGCAACCCGAAGCTCGTTACGTCATCCGAAGCTTTTGCAGCCCGTGTTCCGACAGCAACGGAAGCCGAACGGAGACAGCCCCCTAAACGCAAGCCCTAAGCCCAAAACCCTAAACCCAAAGCCCTAAGCCCTAAGCCCTAAGCCCTAATCCCTAAACCCTAAACTCGGCCCCAAACCCTAAACCCTAAACCCTAAACCTCAAGCGTAAAGTTCTCATGCAGCCTCCTGGGCTGGAACCTTGCCGGGGGCCCTTTTAAAACACACGGCCTCCTCAGGGGCATCCTCGCCCAACCTTTTGGAAGGCTGCTGAAAGCGACCCTGTTGTGCTCTGCAGCTGGCCCCAAACCCTCAACCCTAAACCACTAAAGCCTAAACCACTAAAGCCTAGACCCTAAACCCTAAACCACTACAGCCTAAATCACGAAAGCCTAAACCCTAAGCCCTAAACCACTGAACCCTAAACCCTAAACCTTAAACGAACAACCCTAGGCCTGGCAACCCGAAAGCCTGGTCTCCTTGAATCAGAGATTGCCGGTTACAACGAAGTGACAGGCGCCCTGAACTTTAAAAAGATGTGGAGAGCCTTGAGGGTTCAGGGTGTCGGGTTTGGGGTTTAGGGTTTAGGGTTTGGGGTTTAGGGTTTAGGGTTTAGGGTTCACGCTTCATATCTAGGGCTGAAGGCTTAGGGTTTGCGGCTCAAAGCTTGCTTTGGGCTTCGGCAGGAGAGTTGTAAGTGGGCAGGCCTGCATAAGCCACAAACCCGAAACCCTAAACCCTAAACCCTAAACCCCTTAAACGGAAAACATTTCCGCTACCCAGGTTCCCGGCGTCGTCGCCTTCATCCCTCCAGCGGATCTTGCCAGCCCGTTTTTTTTTTTTTTTTGCATTCCTTTCTTTATTTATGGGAAGGGACCCCAACCAAAGCGCCCCCAAAACTTTACAGCGCCAGGTTGTAGGGTTCGGGGTAGAGCCTCTATAAGCTCAAGGAGGTCCCCCTGATAAGCTGCACGTAGAAAGTTCCAGGGCCCCCACCGCCCCCCCACCCCCCCCCCCCCACCCCCCTCCCCACCCCCCCCCGCCCACCCCCCCCCCCCCCACCCCCCCCCCCCCCCCCCCCCCCACCCCCCGCCCCCCCCCTCAAAGGGCCTGTGGAGGACCCGTAGAATGCCAGGTCTTGAGCCTTGCCTGCCCGTCACACTCCACCAGCCCTGACCGAAACCCCAGGGGGCGCCGATGTGCCTTTGGGGTGCGTCTGTGTACGTGAGCTCCTTGAAGAAGTTGTGTTTTCAAGCGTAGCCAGAAATCGCGGTTTCAAAGGGTTCAACCCACAACGCTCGACCCTCAATCCGAAACCCACAACCCTAGACCCTACAAGCCTAACTCATGACTGAGGGCGAGGAGGCCTACTGCGGAGCCTGGGTCACGGTGTGCGCAGCGAAGGTGGCCATCATTCTCGCCAAGGGCTTAATTTCCGGGTGTGGGGGCGGAAGGGGGGGGGGGAGGGAGGGGCCGTCGAATAACACCTAAACCTTAATGAAACCCTAAACCCTGAACCCTTACCCCTCAACCCTAAACCGGGTGTAGGGTTTCGGGTGCATATCGAGACTCAAGTAGAGCGTTCAACAGTGTCGTCTTGGGCCTTCAGATTTGCCACTAGAGGAAACCTCTGTGGATCTGCAGGGTGTACTTGCACGAAGAAGCTCTAGCAACTTAAACCCTTTAAGGCGTTGCTCTTCTTCTTCGCGAACGTCCCTTGACTGCATTGAGGACAGCTGGCAGCATCTCGCAAGCTTGCGCTGTTCTTTGCACCCTAAGCCCTAAACGTCCATCCCCTAACCCTATAAGAGGTTCTTGAGCGTTAGTTGTCCTTATCATCCGATTTACGAGAATACGCCCTATGCTAGGCCCGAAAAGCCCTGTAAGCTTTGGGAAGAATCCCTCCGTTGATGCTCCTCTGACCTTGCTTGGAGGTTCATGGTACTTCTAAACCAATTCTGACTGTACTTATCACCCACTTATAAGCCCCTTACGTGCCCTAATATGGTCATAAGTACAGCTACGTGCCCTAATATGGTCATAAGTACAGGTAGAAGTACAGTTATCATTTGGTTAACAAGTACCATGAACCTCCAGGTGGTCAGGGGGAGGTGCCTTAATGTGCCCACGCCTCACAGGGTTCGTGGTGGTTGGATGTGGGTCTTTAAGATAATAAGGGACCCATAGTCTGGACCCCTAGCCCCCAACATGGGAACCGCCTATCTTGGGCGCGCAAGACAGCGGCGGCTATCCGCGTGACGAAGGATGGACCCTCATCTCGTAGGTCCCTTCTACCCCTTTCCCCCCCCCCCCCCCCCCCCCCCCCCCCCCTACCCCAACCTCTGCCAGGTTGTGACCGTCTTCTGCTGGATCTCCGAGACGGCCTTGAGCCAGGGGCCTTGATCCCCTAGATTAATCAGGCCCTCATCCCTAAACCCCTGAAAGTCGGAGAAGTGGTAGTCCCAAAT